ACTTTCGAACTTGATTCGCCGTCTTCAAGACAGCAGACCATAGCTGCCGAAACCCAAACAGAACGTTAATTGTTTGCATTTCTTCAAATTGAACGGCACATTAATAGGTGCTAAAGTGTAATGCGAAATATTAATATATGCGACGGTTAAATTCGATGATTCTGACTTTTCTGCATACATAAAATAACAGTTTTCCATATAGTATTATTGAGTTATTCAATGTAGAAAGACGCTCAAACTGCATTGTCGATATTCAAAACTTTCATTTGGAGTTTTGTGTGGCGTATTATAACTAGCGATGAATAGTAGATCTATTACGACAATCCCAAGCGAAAAGAGTTATGGGTTAGTTTAGGAGAGCCACCGCGGAGTATTCATGCCTACATAAGTATTCTGTGCGTATAGTAGGATCAGCAGAGTATTGCGTCTTCCAAGCTGCTAAAACCGAATGAAACTGTTGCCAAAGACATCTACTGTCATCAACGAATGGAAGGATACATTGTTGTAAAAAAACAAGCCGTAGCGGCCAACAGACCCAAAGTTATCCTTTTGCATGACAACGCTCGAATTTTTTGAGGAATTACTAGCATGATTTTATTGACACTTACCTCAAATACAAGTTAAATTCTTTATCGCCATAACCAGAAAATAAGATCGTGATAGCCATACTCATCCAGCAGATGTTTCAGCAAACATCCGGTAAATTTAAACCCCACATAGCAAGTTAACACTGCAATTAAAGTGCTACCCCAATATTATTCAATATGTCATGCCTTTACACTTGATATTCAGAACAAAAGGCTTCAGCGTCTTGCACGCTTGGCTTCAACCAAGTTTATAAAAGCGTTTTAAACTGATATTCAAAATTATGAAGAGCTCAAGTACTTCAGTTTGGCTGGTATTGCGACCGCAGACATACTGATGGCCAATTGGTAAAAAATTGTCTAGTTCTTTGGAGCAGCCTATCCAGTAGACCTACGAACTGTAAAGTTTTTAATAAACAATCCATCCGACCAGAATATTTATCAAAAATACGCGAACACATAGGTGCCGGAAGTAAGATTTTGAAAGATGCGATCTGGGTACGTCTCTATGTATTTTTCGTAAAATTAACATTCAATATACTGACCTTTCTCGATTCTTGATCAGTAATTGTCAACGTAAAGTAGCGTTCAGCCATTTTAACTGTCGTATCGCAAGCGAAGCTACGCACAAACGAAGTTTAAAGTGGCGGAATGACAACCTGCTCTGGTCCACAGAGAAGAGATACCATGGCAAGTTGATTTAGAACCTGCATGCGACTATTTTATCTTTTGTTAACACATACAGAATGAAACAGAGAGAAAGAGATTAATGCAACGAGAAACAGAGTCAGATGCATGTCTGCATGTTATAAGAGTGGGTTTCGTTTGTTTGCGTCGAGAGAAAAACAGTCAGTATGCTTTAAGCGTCCAAACGATCAGCAAGCCGTTGATAGAAAGAAAAGGATCGTTAAGTGGATCATAAAAAAAGCAAAAACAACGATATAAAAAAAAAAACTACAACAAACTTCATTATACAAAGGACATTTTTCTCAGTTTATGTACATGGTTTTGCTTTGATTTGTGGTTATTTCAAAGGCATAAATTAAGTTACATTTCGGGATGTATATATTATCCAAACCGTATTTAATTATTGGCAAATATATAATTTGTACTTTCGTACCAATAGAATACGAATTATATACGCGAAAAACGAGGTTTTTTTCTACTCCAATAAATGTGATGATTAAAAAATTCAAAAAGAAACAACAACAAAAAAAAGACAATACACAAAAGAAAGGAACACACAAAGAAAGTCCCAAGTACACTCATATACATATATATAAACGCCTATAGTTTCAAATATATAATAAAAATACGGGTATATATTTACCTGTATATAATGAAAAAAGAAATCCTAATAAATAAAAGATATGTCTTGTGAAATTTTCCACATATTCTCTGTAAGCAATATACCGGAACGTGCGCATCAGGATCAACTCAAAGAAGAATATATTTTTTACACCCCGTACGTGCGAAAATATGGAAAATACGAATTTCTGAAAAAAATGTAAAAAACAATAAAATCAGAATTAAGATGTATTGTTTAAATTACTTACTTGTCAACTGTATTGACACGTTCACAATTTAAGATCAGGAGAGCTGTCGCACACAGCAAGTGACACCGTACGATGAAAAAAATTTGATACTATTAAATATTGGTTGAAACATTAAGCCTGTTCACCACGTTTGAAAATACGCAGCACAAAGTTGTTTTACTTTACCACTAGAAAAAGAATTCTCTAGGTGACTATAGGCACAAATCATATGTGATGGAAGCGATAAAGATAAGTTCTTAACTATTTTATTGCTTCGCTCTATTCTTCTTTCCTGTGTAATTGTTATCACATTATAAAAAAACAAAAAACTCAAACGTAAAAGATGGTAATTGTAAAGATGTAAAAAGGTGGCAATTGTGCGCTTGGACTGGGAATTATTTGCTACTCTATTTTTTTTACTTTTTATACCAAGTTGTGTATATCAATTTTGTAAAGAGCTAGCCAGGATGTACTAAAAAATGAACTCCTTCCAATTGACGTCGCAGCACTCCAAGCAAAACCATTACCTCCCTCTTCAATTTTCCTTCAGTAAAAGTCCTAAAAGATTTGGCTATTATGACATCATGTAGACTGGTGAGCAACCGTTTGAACATCACTAATAATGGTGTTCGTGGGAATAACCGTTGAGCCATCATTAGAACGTTGGGAATGAGTAGACTTATTACCTGAAACTATTGATAACACCGAGAACGCACGAGGTGAAATATGGATGAAATGAAGTAATAATTGTCTCGTTCGGACGTCAGGAAGATTAAGCGACTGGCCAGGTTACCATGCCGAGGATTTTGTATGATCTAAACTTGTCATAATAACTAAACTTAGCGGATGAACTAGCAGGAATCTTACTCATTTCATTAAGTCCTCGCTTGTGTTTGCTTGACAAACAAAAATAAATACAAGTGCACGTCTTTTTCGGATGCGCCAACGCATCACCTTTACCTTACACTTTGGACCACAGCAATCGATGATCACTCTACATTGATGCTGAATAGTTTTTCATGTGGAACGTAAGAATTTATAAGTTCCATCATTGGTGAAAAGCCAGCAGTATATTTGCCAAATACAATACCTTAAACAGCTTAATGCGACATGTTTATGTAAGCAATTATCAATCGGAAGAGTGTATGTTTTTTATTGTTTGCACAGAAAAATTTTGTACTGTGCACAGAATAGATTTTTTTATGTAAGATATATCCGAACACCCGGCAAATGAATAACTCACTATTAATAATTGTTGATAAAACATTTCTAAAAAATTCAACAAAAATACTTCAAAAGTCCAAAAAACCATGTCTGTCTCCAGCAGAGCGTTGTAAATAAAAAACAAGTAAGAAAGTTATATTCGGCGGGGGGCTAACTCTCGCATACCCTCCACTATGTTTTTCGCATTCTACTCTCCAAAGTTTTTTATTCAATATCCATATTGCTTGTATTATTACGGAAAGAGTAATCCCGGTGTCTACCGTATTCATTTTAGAATTAACCCGTTTTTAGGCATCTTTAGGCATATCTTCATTTGAGCAATGTGCAAAATAGTTTTAAACATTCTGTCTTGCTTGGGTTGAATAAGCATAAATAAATAATAAATAAGTACAAAACCTCAAAAAAGTGAAAAAAAGTAAATTTAATCAATTGTAAGTTTGTGTGGGCATATCGGATGCTCCGGCCCTTCCTTTAATTACCAACCTGCGTGCAGTAACTTGCAATGTTTCTATTAAATTTGAAGTCCTTGCCATCATTTTTGCGACCAGGAGAGTGACCACAACACACGCCACACAGAATATATATATTTTATAGGCTTTCTGAAACTTTCGTTTGAGTGTTGGGTACATTATGAAAAAACCAAAATGACCATACTCCCATTACAGTAGTGGGTGTAAAAATATAGATTTCGTTACTATTATTGTTTGAAGAAATTCACAAAATTAGCAATACCGTCAATGAAGTGATTTCAAGATTTTAGCTAATAGAGTTGCACGTTTTTTCAATAAAAGATGCTTAACTAGAAGTATAGCTAACCACCAGCATTCTTACTTTTCGACCTGAATATTGAAAGTAAGACCGCCAGTACTTCGATTGTCTCGTGTCGAGGTCTTTTGCGCAACAAATATTGAGAAGGGTTCACCTTTAATTACGTTGGCCGATCTACTTTTCATCAGCACTTATTATTTCAAAAACTCTTTCAAAAATGTTCAAACAGCTAAACATGATTTAAAACTATAAACAAGAGTTTTTGCAAGCAACATGTTCTATACGAAAAGTCCATAACGTTATTTTAATAAAGTCAGTATAAATATTTTTTAATTATTATTTATTGTCTTCGACTGTTTAAAACACAAGAATACACATTTTTGTGGGTGTCATAAAAGGACAGATATATATTCATTTTGTCAAAATGTTTATCACACCCAAAGGGAAGCCTCACATAGAGTATATATTTTCTTAATCAGCATCAAATTCTAGATCGATTTTAGTATATACCTATCTGTTGTATGCCTTCATAATACTTTTAATCAAATATTCTCCTGATCATAAACATTAAGCTATTGGCTTTAAATACGACAAGAACATTGGCAACTGTTGCACGCAGATTGATATTGCAAGTGGACCAACTCGGCTAAACGACATGTTCGCAGTATAATATAAAAACGGAACAAAGTAGAATTTTTTGTCATTACTAACAAACTGCAATGGTAAAAATTTGCATATTCTATTATAAGATAGAGGCAGTGAATATAAAAGATTCGCCAATACTCCTGTTTACTTTTCGTACCTGAGCTAGATTTTCTATTGAACTTTTAAGTATTTCACGTCTCCGCAACTTTTAATTACTGGGTATTCTATTTCTGTTTATTTTCAGAAATTATCCACAGACTCGGTAAGTTGATAATGGAAATCTTTCGTAGCTATATATAACAAATAAGCAACCTCGAGACGTTCTTTCTAAGGGATGATTTCAGAGTCACGTAATTGTGGTAATTCTAAACCTATTGCGGCAAACTATCGCTGGTTGGAAAGGTGTGAGTCCATTAATAATTAAAATAAAATACATTATGGCTTGTAGTAATATGCTTGATTTGTATGATTAAGGTGCTTTAGCAATAAGAACAGCAAGGAAACAGCTTGCTTGTTTCCCAATACATCGTATTCTGGTCGACTACTTATTTATGCAATCAATATTTATGCAAAAATTCTTCCGGACAATTAGAAAGGGTAGTATATTTCATCTTGTGACTTCGCTGCAGAAGTCAATCTTATCGAACGAGAATTTTGAACGGTTTGCCTAATGCTGGATATAAAATGAAGCGGTAGTACGTAAATTTAATTTAATAGCTGCAGTAAAGGAACGAAATAGATGCATTTGTTGAAAAGATTAATGGCTGGCCACTTGCAAACATAATGGGCGAAAAGATAATGGAAACGCTGCCATGTCACTTAATGTAATTCGTTTGCTGGCAGTGGGAAGCAATCGTGCACCATAATCCGCTTCAACTTGATCGCATTGCACTTCCTACAATCATTCACAATTTGTTGATAAACAGGAGCTATTTTCACGACTATGCGAGATCAAATTTTAATTAAAAAAATTAATAATTAGTTAGAAATTCAGAACGATTGACCGCGAAATATAGAAACATCCACTGTGTAACCCAAACTTTGCCAAGTCCGATCTACATTCTTCTACTTAAAAGAAGGCGTATGAAAATTTTACATCAGTTTTTGTCCAGAAATCACAGAAGTTCTATAGTGGTGCAATAATGATTTCACTAGAAAGATGACAAAAGGCTATCAATTGAAATATTCAGTCAAATAAAGTTGCTTCAATGAAGAACAAAATTTGACTCGAAGTATCCGTTTTCTTTTTAATTTCTGCCACAATATGATATTTTACCAATATATAAAACTTAATTCGATATAATTGAAACTAAACTGAAAAGCAGGACATTTTTGGTAGTTGATGCTAAGGAGTAACCTATTCCACGTACTTCCAATGATTGTATATTTTATGTAATTGTAAGTAACTTGCTTTACTTGCTTAATTAAATTCTTTTCATTCACTGCAAACACTTTCAATAAAGCAAAACACATTTTTTAGAATAATTACAATTGTTTTCATTATTACTTTCGCTTTTATTATGCGTTTCTTTTCAAACACGCAAACGAATTCAATAAACTTTTCCAAAAAAAAATTTTTTCACTTGATGTGTTGAAGCTGATGTTCTTAGAGCAATATTTACAAGTTTTAGCCCTGATTACACTTTTTATTTTTCATAAATCAATAACGCAATACCTATGTTCAATTAAAAAGATAAACAAAACCCAAATTCCTCTTTTTATACCAGCCACTGCAAGGTGGAGGTACACTCATTTTGTTTTTTTCCATAATGTACCCAACACCAAAAAGGTGTTTTCAGAAACCCTATCAAATATATATATTCTTGATCAGCGTGAAATTCTGAGTTGATTTAGCCACGTCTCTCCGTCTGTGTGCTTGTGTGGTGTTTGTTGTTTGCACCCTCCTGGTCGCAAAAATGAAGACAACGACTTCAAATTTAGTAAAAACATTGGAAATTTTTGAACGCAGATTGCTGTGGGAAATGGGCCAAGTCGGTCGGAGCAAAAGCGCACAGTGGAACTGAACGCAACTCTATTTTCTGAAAGAAATATTTTGGGTTCTTATTCGTTACTCGGAAATTAGAACAGTTAAAAGGCTGAAATTTACCACGTTTACTTTACGAAGCATTCTACTCCTTTCGTGCAAAAACGGAAAGCATTCGCTCTGGCCGCACAAAGTTACAATTGATTAAATTTGCTTCTTTTCACTTTTTTGAGGTTTTACGCTTATTGATGTTTAAATGTTTAAACCTATTTTGCGCATTGCTCAAAAATGAAGATATATTGCCTGTCTGTAAAAATGGATTAATTCTAAAATGAATATGGTAGACACCGGGATTACTTCTTCGATAATAATACTAGCAATATGGATATCAAATAAAAGAACGTGGAAAGTGGAATGCGAAAAACATTGTGATGGGTATGCGATTAATATCTCGGAATATCGTTTATGCCGTAAATCACTGTTATGGTTTAAGGTTAATGTGTTATGACGTTACAAAATATGCAAAAAAAATTTTTTTGCCATCTTTTTCTCCTCTCAAAGATAATCGGATGTTAAATGACAAGTGGGGATCAAACAGTTTTGTCGAGTTACTATTAAAAATTACTTTAAATTACTTTATTTTTGTTTTGAATTTCAACGGTTGAACTCGTCAACCCCACCATCGCAATGCTAAATTTTGATGCTGCGCCTATTTATGTCAGATGCAAGTTTCATCGAAAATTAACATATTGTCACATAATGTATGCCATTGTTTGCCATACTTATTGCAAATGGATTGCTTTTTATTATATCTTTTGTTCTTTTGATTTACATTACAAGCCTTCACCTCTTGGTACGACCTTTTACTTGCGAACTCCTACACGAACAAGAAAAATAGGTGGGAAGGCTGCCGTTTCGTTCAAACACTTTTTCCGATATTACTGCGCAGACTTTTCATTCAACAGGTATTTTTAAATATTCTTTTTTCCATCAAAAGTAGATGAGAATTTCTATGTTGTTTCTGTCAAAACACCACATGCACGTCTGCTACTTGAATATAAAAATTTTTTTGCAAAAATTTTTTGGATAAAAACTGTTTTTTTATTTAGTGGATCCAACGCCAGACATATAGCGACAAAACATTGGATTCTGCAAAATATTTCAGAATACAGGATCCTTACATGATTCTGCAATAATTTCTAATGCGGTGATATTCCTAGAACAGATATTAATGATGATAGTAAGAAATCTTCGTGCGACTGTTCCTTTTTTATTAAATTAAAGAGTATGTTGATATACGGTTACGCATAAATTCAGGCCACTAAGCAGAGCCTCAACATTTGATTTGATTTATCTATACTTCAAGAACAAGGCAATGAAACCGTCTTTTTCATACATATATTTGTATAAAAAATTAACGAACACAATGGTAGATAAACGTGTAAATGAACGAACAAACGTTACCGAACCGATGCTTGTAAATGCAAATCGTTAGTTGTGACATAAAAAAAAGAAAAAATGTGCTGAAGGGAGGATAGCCTACCAAGATAACCCACATTTTTACGATTCGTGTCTTGACTAAAAATGTCGACGCTAAATTACAATTTATTGCGAAATAAACAACGCACATGTAAAATAAGTATTAAAATTGAATTATATTAGTAAACGTCCACATTTAAAGCAAACTAAGCCTAATTGTGAACGCAAAATCAAAAAAGCTAAATTATTGCTACTAAATCTCTTGCAAAATTGCAGTACAAATACTAAAATGATGCGATATGCAAATTGTATTATAATCACTTTCAGAGGCATTACCCGACTGCAGATTTTCTATAAGTCCTGGAAAATGTTAAAACCTATCAGAAAAACCTAATTTAATTACCATGGTCCCGGTCCATTGCCTCCATATTCGCAGAAACCTGCATTCTTCGTATACTCGACCATTCTTCTCTGAGGCGATGGAGGTATCAGTGAGAGATAAATAATCTTTATATTTTACATAAAACCTTTCTCATTTTCCTAAAAGGTACTCGATGGTCTCTTCTGATATTGTCGAGATAATAAGCTAGGTAATATGTGGGAAAAATTATATATAAGCCCGAAATATTTTTGGGGAAGCAGCTATTCGAAATAAATGATAACGCGTCTATTGCAATGACTAAAGGGTGGTGTGGAAAATTGCAATAAATTGGATTAAAAAATTGATATTGAACTGAAACGAATTTAATATAAATAAATTAATGTAATTTCTAAATTTTACAATTCCTTATCATTTATGAATTTATAAAACAAATTGAAATAAATCTGGAAATTCTAATCCCAAAACCCATGTTCAAAAACTATTATGCATTTATTTTAAATAGGTGCCCCAAAAATATTTCAGGCCTATGTACTATTTTTCCCGCTGTCTAATCATATTGACAATAAACTTGTATGTTTATTATGCACAAGTACGAACATTAATTTCTAGACAACGTTACGTACTTCCTCTACTATTTTCTCTACAAAATCTCCGGTTTAACAGAACTATTTATTAATTATTTGATTTACTCATTGTAATCATATTGTAATTACTTTAGGTACCATATTGTTTTGAAATAAAATAAGTTAAAGGGCATAAGCTTAACATACTACGTCATACCAAAAAGTCATAAACAGAATTTTTACCGATATAAATAACGAGACAGAAAAAGCAGGCAGTCAAGCGGCTGCTAATCAACAAGCGCACGCACAAGCGCACATAAACACTTTTGACATAGCATATAATCTATTTGCCTATAGAATGTTTCGAAAAAAATTGTACGCGATTCATATTTAGAAAAATGGCGACAACTCAATAATATGCATATAACTTCTTAAGCAAGTGCATGGACAAACGCGCTACTATTGCAAACATATGCCCGTAATGTGTAATCTTAAACATAGATGTTGAATAAAGTCAAAAACCTTATGTGTATAAAATATTTCATTAGCAACAAAAACAAAAACGTTTCATATAAAATATCCAACATTTCATTAGCAGCAATCATTAGCAGCATTATTGCAATATTTTGCCTTTAGGATCTTGCGTATATAGAAAGGACAGGTTTTCAGCGAATTTCGAGGTGATAGACCGGGACTAGGGTAATGAAATTAGGCTTTTCTGATAGGTTTTAGCATCCTTTAAGAAATATCAAAAATCTGCACTAAGGAAAATTCGTTAAAAGTTTTTATATACACTTTGTGTATTGTAGCTTTTCGCCAACAATATACATGCACTATATGGTAAATGCCTGAAA